TTGTAGTGTTGTTATTGTTTCGTTTTGTGGTGTAACACTTATTGGTTTTTGTATAACAAAAGAGCTGCTTGCGATGCATCTGGATGTATGTGAATGCACGTATGCATAAATTCGAATACACAAATATGAATGCATAATTTTTATAGGCAAAAACAAAAATTCACAATGACTGGAGCATAGGATGTGCGAGTTTATTTGGTTTACAAATGTGCGCAACTACAGTGGAAACCGGAATAATATGAAACTCATTTAAGTCATTATTTGCGTCTACGTTACTTGTTCCCAGTTGAGTCATAACACTTTTGTATTTTAACAAAAATCAACTTAATATGCATTAAATGAAAGTAAGCCATAATGAATATAATAAAGAGTTTAGATTGAGGAATATAATTGCTGTTGGTGTGTTCAAAATATTTCGAGAATTTTAAACTATTTAATCTTTAATGTTTGGCAAATCTCCTTGGTCCATGCCACACTTGTATAATTCAGGATTAAAATTAGTTTTTATAACAGTTTTCGAACAGTTTACTGCAATTGGTGGATAAAATTTTAGTTATACTTTGATGCTATTGAAAATGTGATAAAACTAATACATGCATATTATTTCTCTTCTGTCAAGTTTTGATTTTATCTATTTGACATTTTCATAAGCATTTTATTCTTAATGCTAGAAAAGAACAGTAAATAATAAAATTAAGAAATTTTTTATCTAATTTGTGAATACCAAAATTAATGTTTAATTAATACTCAAAATATATCTTTGTTTATTCACACATACACTACCAAGTGAATTTCATATATATAAATTTTCAATCTCCAGAATTCAACAAGTGTAGCAATTATCAAAAGTTAATGCACCAAAATTTATCCTCAAGAATTACTCATATCTGGTATAGCCCACTTAAAGTAATCTCTCTTTGATATCATGCATTATTGCCACCGCAGCTTCCAGTTTGAGCACAATTTCTCGGATTTTTTTGTTAAAAAAATTATTTTTTATATATCTTTTAGAGCTTGGGAATTAAAAAAAGATCGGGGCTTGGTTACATTTCTGGTAGTGGCAGTATTTTATTTTGTTTCACCACAAATTGTTGTATATGTAATAAACAATTCAAAACAAATTTTTTAAGCAATTGTTTCATGTCTAATATTTCTATTTGATCAGCAATCTTTCCTAAAGGCGTTTGTAGTCTTTATAAACTGTTGGATGTGACATAATATCGTTGCAAAATGCACTATTTAACATTTTGACTAGAAGTTAAAATTTTAACATTTTGACTATTTAACATTTTGAGTAGTAGTTTAAATTTATTTTACTTCTAGTATGATTAAATCATACCATTTATACATATATAGACATATTTACATGATATACATAGAGTATATTATTTTGAAATTTTTAAAATGTTTAAATTCAATAACAATATATACTTGTATTTTAAAATGCAAATAAATAGTCATACGTAGGCAAGAGGCCACTAGAAACATGACTCCCTCATTCAAGTGAAAGTAAACCACCCTTATAGGTAATCTTGACTAAGTCCCTAATCTTGCAGGATGATAGTTCTGCTAGGTCGGTAAATAAATCGGCCCAAAGATTTCTAATTTACTCCTAGCCATTAACGGATACTGACACTTGAGGTGGAGTAGAATTTTTATTCTCATATACACAGTCATAAACCCAACAAATGTCTTTATAGGATAGACAGTGATACCGTAATCAAGATCGATCTTGAGGCATGACGAAAGGGTTCACCTGCATAAGTTTGTTTACCTTCTGTGGAATGGTTCGATAGTCAAAATGAGATCCGAATAGAAATAGAAATTATACAGTTTATGGGAACAGCCGACTCTTTCAACTGTTAAACTGTTATTTAACAATCCTATTATTTAAAAATGATCATTTCCAAAATATAAGCGTGAAAATATATTCTATTTTCTTAGTGTTCGTTTCCCCTAGTGGGGCATACGACAGCAGGTATACTTAAATATACTTAACTATATGTTAATTTTATGTTCGATTTTCGACTGTTTTCGGTTTATATCCGTTAGTAGTTATCTAAATTTAAATATTGTTATTATTTGCATCACTCGTGCACGTCATTATTTTTCTTCATCAGTTACAACATTTTGTTATATATTTTTACTGTTATTGCTGTTGTTGTTGCTGTTGTTATGATTACTACCTTTATTTTCTATACCATTTTAACTCGTGCCAATATGATTTTCGTTAAAAAGCTAAGCTGCAATTTTCTAAACGACATCCACGAGTGTGTTCCATGCACATTAGTAAAATGTGCTTTAGCTGTTTGTTATAAAAGTTTTGTTAAATTTGTTTTTACGCTCAAACACATAAACAAATATACAAATACACAATAGAAAACAAACAACACCAAACATAAAACAAATACACAACAAAATAGTCGTAAAATATTTTCCGAATACGTGAGTGTTTGCATATAAGTCAGTAAATTAATGTGTGAATGGTTACGTGAGTGTGTAATAAACCCCAAGTGATTTCCTAAAATGGCGCCCTGCTTAGCACAGACACACACCAATTTAAGTGCGGTGCAGACTATCATACTGGTATGTCATACGAGAGAGAAAAACGTCGTATGACACACAGGTATGATAGTCTGCCACCTTTGCCAACGTGTTGGCGTGCTCACCAAAATTTTGGTGAACAGCTCTCGCATACGCGTTGTGTATGATAGTCTGTCACCCCTAACGATTCATACGTCATACAAGAGCAGTTTTGCCTTGCAAATTTATTGCAAGCAGGTGGAATATGTAGAATTATAATATAAATTTAATATGTTTTTTATTATTTTATTATAAATGTATTTATTATTATTATATTTATTATTATTAAAATTACACTTATAAATTTGTGTTAAATATTTGATTGTATCTTAGTTAAAAAAAATATAAATTTTTACATAAAATTCTTATAAAAAATTAAAATACAATTAAATATTTTATGTAATATATTAATATTTTATTTAGTTTATTAAATATTTTATTTTATTTTATTTTAATTTATAAACGATGATTATAAGTAAAACTTTTTTAAAAAAACATCTTAATATAAACATCGTTAAATTTATGATCTACGCCCAGTAATAAAAAAATGTATTGAAAATTGATCGTAATAACAATTAATTAATAACCCAAAATTTAAGACATAATACTTTGTATTCTAAATATGCTTTTCTTTGTTAAAGCTTCTTATTAAAATAAAAGAATTTTAAATGTTAATAACCTTTAACTAAAAAAATATGGAAATGATCAAATTTCTTGAAAAACAAATAAGATATATATATTCTTATGTATATACATATATACATTATTTGTATGATCTATTTATGAAAAATTTCTTAAGAAATTTTACAGGTAGTGAATGAAATTAAATTACGGTCCTTTACTGATCTTTTCATTTTAACTACTGTGCTTAATGACCAATAAACCTGAAAAAATTATGAATATGGATGCAGATAAAGCATTTTTAGATGCTTTCATCGAATGTTAACAAAAGTAATAGCTGTTTGTGGGATGTCCAAAGCTGTGAATATAAAGATCGCAAAAAAAAGACGCGGCATATATAAGATATACAAAATTATAATCAATTATAAGCAAAGCGCAACCTATACGTTAACTATCAATTTTATCAATTTTAAAATTTTATTTTAAACACACAAATTTTCACAGCACTACCCGCAAAAGCACTCTTCAAAAATTTTGCCTACTCTTGTGTGTCATATCTGTTCAAATTCGGTCGCTAGAAGAAATTTGAGCAAGAGAGAGCGCAACTCGTATGACACACCAGTATGATAGTCTGCACCCCACTTTAAGCGGTTAACATATACTCGCATACAGGCTTGCATACCAAAACGAGTTGGCATACGTGAGTAAGTCAGTCATGCTGTGTGTGTCTCTACTTCTATTTAAATAAAATTTTAATTCTACCCTGGGTTATTTGTCAACCTTTTACCCGAAAATATTGCATATTAACACACACATACACACACACAAGCACGCAAATAGTGTGCACTCAATATATTTTCGTATACATACTACCCCGCCAATATATGCGAATTACCACAAATACAAGCGTAACTTTATTAAGTGCGACGCACGCGAGTTTATGAGTTTCGGATATGTTTTTCTTTTTTTATTTCTCTTCTGACTTTCTATGTTTATTTTACAATTTCAAGTTTGACTTCATGCTGGTCTCTTGGACGTTTATGCTATCATTAGTAAGCTGCATCAGTTACACTCCATATTCGTCTATTTGTTTGTCAGCATGTCTTTGTGTTAGTCGTTTATTTTGTCAAGTACTTTCGTACTTTCGTACTTTCTCTACAAAATTCAGCAGTTTAAATCCCAAATTCCCCAAATCCCATTTGGCTATCACCAGTCACATCAGCTCTTCCTTGTGTATTTGTATTTATCTATATATTTATATTAATGTTTGTATACATACATAACTCATATGTATGTTGGTGGCATGTGTATATATAGTTATGCATATTTGCGTATATTGAACAGCTTTTGTACGTAGAAATGCGCAAAAATGTCACTCATACGTTCGGTAGCCCAAAAATTGACATAAAATTCGGCATTAAATTAAATTTTATCTGAACATCAATTTATATATATGTATAAATATAAAAAAGAGGAAAATATAAAAATATCAAATAAAAATTTGGTATTTTACGTTTTACTGTTGTTGTTCATTTTTCTTTTTTGTTTTTTTTTTTGTTATATTACTTATCTATTTTCGCAATTTCTGTTTTCAATTTTATTTTTATTTTTTTTATTTGGAATATTTTTGTATCATTTTATTATTGCAGTTAAAATTTCTGTTGACGTATTTTATTGAAAATTTTAAAATATAATATTTGCATTTTTTATTAAATATGAAAATACAACAAATTATTTATATTTAAAAATAAAAAAGAAATGTTGAAATATTTCAATAAATTTTCATATTTTTATAGACACTTGACAACGTTCCGTGAGTGGTTCAGTTTGATATGCTGTGGTTATGTGGATTTTTTGCAATTTCGTATTGTTGATTTTGAGCTTTAAATATTATTTTTTAATTTGTAATATCTTAACAGCTTAATTAAAATGTATTGATATAGTTAATAAGAGAAATGTTAATAAAATATAAACTCTATTTTTAAATGCTTTTAAAAGATGATTATACTTTTTCAATAATTAATGCGGACGTGCCATATTCATGATAAAATATTTTTACATTGTCGTGGTTTGTATATTTAATTTATATTTGAGAATATAATAAATAAAATAACAGAGTGGTAAAATAAATAATTTATAATTTATTTCGTAGAGAATTTGAAAACATTGTATACAGTATATATGCGAACACATTTTTTTTGTTATTTGTAAATTTTAAGCCATATTTATTTGCAGGAATTTATTAAAAAATTTTTCATCCACTTTTTTACTATTACTATCTTAAGTTTCTTGTTATTTCGGCATTTGTATGCTTTTAGCTGGCACTTTGACTTAAATGTCACAACGCGTTTTAAGTTGAAGTTTGAAGTAAAGTGCTTGAGTAGGACCATGTATAACCATTGTGATGTTTTCAATACATTACTTAAATTTTTTAATAATCTAAAAAAAAATATTTCTTCTTGTTTGCAGTTTCTTGTTATTTCGCCAATTTTGATGCTTTTAGCTGGTATTTTGACTCTTGCTAATTTTCATGTATATATTTCGAGCAAATAGAGCACGCTACGCTTTTCCTTAAGTGGGCCTATTTACGCTATCATGAACGTGAGAAGAACGTGACGACAACATGAACTTAACATACAGTTCAGTTTTCACTATCATGAACTGTTATGAAGCTTGAAATTTGTTTTGTTTTGTGTAAACGTATAAAATGCTTATGTGTAGCAGTGCAAAACACAGAAATTCAAAATATACACAAACACCAAAACATAACATTGTATATGCATGCGTCTCAAACTGAAAAAAAGCAACAATTTTCGTTGCTTAATATTCATGAACTAACATCATACTCTCTTCCCTCTCCAATCTATCGAAAACCGGTTTTCAAGTTCATGTTCATGTTACGTTCATGATAGTGTAAATTGGGCCAGTGAGTGATATATTTTATAAATTTTTCTTCTTTTTTAGTGCAGTTTTTAAACCCTTATTTACGATTTGGTGTTGTTAGCTGCTATTTAGACTTTTGGTTATTTTGTTGTAGACACTTTAGCTAATTTATGCATTGCCAATTACGTGGGCTAAGTAAGGTAACTTCGTAATTGATATAAATTGAGTTGAGTATGGTCATTTACAAATATACAGTGCCCCATATTCAATATGGTATATAACTCATTCAATTTAGTATGTAATCTTGAGGATTTTCATTGTTTTTATATTGATTTATTATACTAATTGCAATTTCCACAATTAAGAACTGACTTTAATAGACATGTGAATTATCATGTTCAAAATACCTTAAGTCGTTTCGACTATCTTATATACAAGGTCTCACCATTCAATAAGGGAAAAATTTATTTCTCGGACATCAGTGTGGTTAAAAAAAGAAACTTAAATAAATAAAATCACTTGACCGAATAAAAAGAAAATTTATGGCAGAAAAAATGTTCTGTGGCCAGACAAGAGTAAATCACTTTTGTGCTTGTTTGGTATTTATTGCAAAAATTTGCAATAATAAATTGCCTGCACATAAGTATCTACTCGTACGAATGTTTGGGAAAAAAGTTTATTAATTTCGATATCCAAACAAGCAACACTTAACCTTTTTGCCAATTACAACTCAAGCATATTTTCATGCTTTATTAACATTTATTGTCAATAAATTAAATGAATAAAATAAATAAATTCATTCAATTGTCAACTGCAATAAAATTCCTAATTGTATAATAGAATAAAAATCTATGAAATTTATTTGTTTTCAAGATTTTACATAATTTAGATTATTTACAATTTGAATTTATTAAATTGAAAACAATTTAAAAATATAGGTATATTGTATTTAACTTTATTACGCATGAATAAAAGATTCAAATGTTTTAAATATAAATATCCAATTCTGTGTACATACTTAGTTTTCGTTAAAATATTATTAATATTTTTTTTTTAATTTTTAATTAAAATTTATTTACATGTGTTTTTTTACGAGTACAATCACAAAAGGATTTGTTTTATGTGGAACACTTGATCATATATTTTATAATAAAATGAATTTTGCATAAATACATTTTATATTTCGTATGTAAATACATTTTATTATTTTGTATTATTATATAAAAGTAATTCATACCGAAGTGTGTAAAAGTAATCAACCGTTCACAATGAATCCATCAAAATTAAATGCAAATTGAAATAATTTCATTAAAAAATTCAAACCGTACACAGCACCCAATTACCCATTACCCCCGAAACCCAATTGACTCTTTCAATTGCCAATATTGCAACGGATACTTTTATAGCTGTATTTTTGCGTGTACGTCCTTAGCTATGAGAGTATATATATTCCAGTATATATTTATATGTAAATAAATGTGTATATAGATATCTAGTCTATGCGATTTAACAAAAACCAATTTAATTTGCATTTTCATTATATGATTTCGTTATATGATTTTCACATTAATGTGCTCAATATTTTTTTGTATTACATATTTGCTGAATTAATTGTGGTACAAAATCCCTATAAAAACACAAACAGAATTGGAATTCCCGGGTACACAACTTGTAATGTAATACGAACACTGAATTACACAAAACAGCCGGAATGTGTAATTTGCAAATTATAATTTTCGAATAAAAAACAAAAACTTCATTTGAATGTCTGTCCTTATGGAATGAAGTATCACACCTCTCAGCAGCTCTTATTTAAGCCATTTTAGGCTAATAATGGTTTGTTATTATTATTCTATCTCTTCATTTAATTGTTGAATTTCTAAATTTCATTACGAATCTACATATTTTATTAAAATTGATATTTTGATGAATAATATAACATACATTTTTTATTCAACCACAAATTAAATTTCACACTATATGTATAAAATAAGTAATATGGTATAGCTTATACGAATTACTGAAACTGAGCAATCTCAGTCAGATTCTTATCTAGAAATAAGATACAAATACATTAATGAATGGCAACATAGGTGGGACCATTTCCAAAAATTAAGATGGACGCATTCGTTAATTTCAAATGTAAAAGTTTGAATTAACTGTAGATCTGGAGACTACGGATTTCAATTAACGCAGTTAATTACGGGGCATGAATGTTTCGGTGAATACTTTTACTAGTTCAGATAGCAAGTAACCCGTACTGTCAGTTTTGTCCAGATAAAATTGAGTGTCCCGACTATATAATTGGAGACTGTGTAAGATTCGTAGATACTAGACAAAATCTAGAGATACTTATTGCTGAAGCTTGGTCTTCTACTATGGTAATGCAGATATTGGCAAGCATTTAAGAGTGGAGCCTTTACATGTACATAATCTCTAGAACAATAAACATTGTTAAAGTGAAAGCACGCTCAGTGATCTTCTAACTTGTCCTATGAAGGAATATCTCAACTGGTTCGATACAGAAAAAAAATCTTATATTTCAACTATTTTAAAGCGTTGGTTAAGGTAAAGTTTCATCAAATCTTTACCACGCAGTTATTTCTAATACAATACTATAATTACAATAATTCTTATAAATCTGAAGATATCATTCTCAAACGGCAGTTCAGATTACAAAAACAATCTTTCCACTGTTTTCTTCAGGTAGAAAGAGTCTTTTAAATTATAAAAAAAAACTCTCAATGAAGAGAAATCTACTTAAATGGTCTTATTTGATATCATTAAGGTCTTTGATAAGGTCTGGTATAATGGGCTGATCGACAAATTATGATATTCGGGTTGAAATGACGAAACTTTTAGCTAGCTTTTTATGTATATATGATAGAGAACGGTGGGCTGCTGTAGAAGCCTTTGACAGTTTTTACAAATTGTAAAATAAGTTTTACGTTTATTATTTCTTCAGTATATAAACATTGATATTGATTTATCTCTCTATCTTATCTATCTCTTAATGTTTGATATAAGGAATTTGTGAAAACAAAGAACTGTAGTTTAGCAACTAAATGCTATAGTTTATACGTACTGCTATTAATATACCAGTTCACATATACCAAGTATTAACTTTCAATGTAAGCTAAGTTTAGAAAGTAATTTTTCCTGAACTTAATGGGAAAAAGTTTAGGTCCAAGAATTTACAAAATTGTATAGAATAATATAATTGGATTTCCATTTTCAACGTTAAACTAAATCGATTTTTATATTCCCAAAATAAAAAAAATTTTACACCCAATGCTTTTATCAATTAATAAGATTACTTTAATGGGCCCTAAAAACACATATTTGTAGCATGCCCGGATTTGAAGCATAAATAAAAGAAGTACATATACGGGCATTTCATATCGGAAAAAGAAATAAAACTAAGTAATGTAGGTACAATACTACAATTTATAGAGAAATTTGGACTTCGAGAAATACTAAAAGTCCATGAAGGATACATATAGGTTTCTAAGTAGCAGTAAAAATTTTTTAAGCATAATAAATATACAATTTAGTATACCGGAGCCTTTTTAACGAGTTAGTTGGTACACATTAAAATCTCTAGAAACTTTGATATGTCTAAAACAAGGCATATGCTGAGATTTTCCAACAAGTAAAATCAAAAGCTTCGTTAACTAAACCGAGTTAATCAAAAACTTAAATATTGTTAAATTCCTCAAAAATTAGGAACATGTTTTTTGCTGCAGTTCGATTAATGTTTTTATGATTGAAATATCCTTTTCTCTCTCACATTCTTACATAAAGCGAAACTAGTAGAAAATATGTAGCGTTATAAGCCTCAAACACTACTATTCGCCAGCTAGAAATTTCAGCAAGCCAGGCTCTGAGAAGACTTTTCAAGGTACCATGGTACGTTAGGATGAATGGTATCCTCAGAGATCTCAAGATTAATCTGATCAAAAAATACATAAAGGATAAAGTCCTGAAATTATTTACGA